ACTAAATGCTAACTAAATGCCGGGCTAAATCCGAGGTATTCCGACCCGGAATTTTGGGGATCCCCCTGTATGAGTTTACGTATAAGGTCAGCATATCTTTTGTCCCGGGAATTAGTCATTTGATTTGCTAATTGTCCGGAGCGTAGCGGAGGACACTCAATTTCTATGCAAAGTGATACTAAAGTTACGTTTTTGATGCACCAAAAGTATCATTATTGATGCATTAATAATTAAAATATCAAAAACGTAACTTTGAATTTTCCGTCTGTCTCTACTTGCATATTCGTGTAACACAATAAAACTCACGTGATTTCGCTCTGGACTTATAACGGTTTCCGTTTTTTAGTTTATGATATGTATTAGTAAATCATGTATTATCCTTACTCAAGAATCAATTCAAAGATTGAGTCCTAATAAAAGTCACTATTTGAGGTGTCTAAACGGATAGGATCAGACTTTTAACTATGTTAATGAGATTGGGATTTTAATTTAAGTAAATTTTTAGAATAAGATTTATTTTATGTATATGAACCTACATCTTAACTGAAATGTTAAAATTATATAATAGTTATATATTTAGTGAAATTATAAACATAGAACCCAAGTGTATAACTAATCTATACACTGCTATCTTAATAATAATGATCAGTATACTTGTTGTCAATACTATAAATCTTTAAAATCTCACTCAATCCAAATCTCAAGTATACAAATTCCAAATTCTAAACTGGAAAAATTTTATATAAGTTGTTATAATCTCAAATTTTAACCAAATCTTAAACTTTAACAAAATACCAAATCTCAAACTTTAACAAAATATCAAATCTCAAACTTTAACAAAATACTGTAATAGAATTTACTTTTTTTCCTATATTAATATATATATTTTTTTAGCTCTATATTATATTTTATAATTTTTCTAATATTTTTATATAGTTTATAGATTATTTTACTAGTTTTAATCATCTATTTAATAGGTTAATATTTATTTTATTAGTAGATTTCTTATAGTATTTTATTATAGTCAATAGTTATTGGAGTGGAAATAACATAATTATGTTATTTCCACTTAATCTAGGTTATGTCTGATGACAGGATCATATACCTGTCATCATTTGAGTGATGAATGATTCGCACTTGTGTCATCAGAGATATATTAGTATTCGTTCTATCATTCGAGTAACAAATGATTTATGCTTATATCATCATTCGAGTGACGAATGATTCGTGCTTGTGTTGTTAGAGATATATTAGTATTCGCTCCATCATTCGAGTGACGAACGATTCACACTTGCGTCATCATTCGAATGACGAACAATTCATGCTTACATTATCATTCGAGTGATAAATGATTCGCACTTGCATCATCAGATATATTAGTATTTGCTCTATCATTTGAGTGACGAATGATTCACACTTGCGTCGTCATTCGAGTAATGAACGATTCATGCTTGCATTATCAATATCATGATATATATATTTTATGACACATTTTTGATGACAAAAATGCAACACCCTGAAAACATATTGTCAAATGGGTAGTCATCTTCCATAATTATTATAATATATTACTGAAGTTAGCTATCTTGAAAACATACCCGAAATGTATATGCTAAGTTGTGTATTCTTTCATTTTTTATATAAAATATTTCTAAAGATTACATCACAAAGTTTTCTTTATCTCTATTGCACTCATTTACATACTCCAAAATATACTATTGAAATGGGTAGCCTTTTGCCATTTTTCTTATAATATATTACTGCACTTGACTACCTCCGATCACATATTGTCAGATGGGTATATAACTTCATTTTTTCTTATATAATATTACTAAACTTATACATTTGAAGACATATCATTAAAGTGAGTAGATATCTACCCTGAAAATGTATCATTGAAACAGGTATATAACTTCCATTTTTCTTATATAATATTACTGAACTTATATACCTCTGACCACATATCATCGAAATGGGTATATAACTCCTATTTTTCTTATATAATATTACTGAACTTATATATCCCAAAAATGTATCATTGAAACAGGTATAACTCCCATTTTTCTTATATAATATTACTGAACTTATATACCCTGACCACATACCATCAAAGTATGAACTTATCTACCCAAAAACATACTATCAAAATGTGTATATAACTTCCATTTTTCTTATAATATATTACTAAACTTATATATCCAAAGTATTCACTTACCGAAATTGTGTTTCTCCACATCTATCTTACTAAAACCTGATGCATTTCTTTTGGTATTTCATACCAAGCACGAAAAAATTAATTTAAACTTTTCCAAACTATATTGTAATAATATAATCAAACAAAGATTGATACATACAAATAAAAAAAACCAAATATCAAAAATGAGTAAACAAAGAGCACAACTTGAGCAATACAGGAGTAGAGAAACCTTAGCAGGAATTCCATCTCACAGTGATATTATTTCAGAATGTAATAATGAATTAACAGCTATACTTCAACAAAGTTTATCTGATAAACAGCCTATATACTTCATGCCTAATGATGTGAGTGATGCCACTGAGTATATAAAAAATGTATCGACATATATTCTACATATTCATGGCACTTTAATTAATGGGCAAAAGGCTAGGGTAGATATTACAGATATTAAACCCTTCTTTGATATCATCGTGCCTGATAACGAACCTTTATCTATATTCAAACTAAGATTAGTAAAAATTATATCAGGGGTGGAAAAGATTAATAAATCGAAGTTTAGAATAAAAGTTACCTATGCATATCCAATTCATGGTTACTATACTGAGAAAAAGGCATATATTCATATCATTACATGGAATCATTATGATAGAACACGAATTTTAAAAGAGGTTCGTAAGCACAACATTGAAACAGTATCAGATGATATCACTGATGTTTATTATTATCGAAAGGTATCCTGTGAAGAAAGACTACCCCTCTCTGAGTGGGCCGTATTAAGCAATTATAATTACTTATCAAATACAAATTTACCACATTATTATTTCTGTGTATCTGTAAATAATTTTCAGCCTTTAGGAGATAATAAGCCAGATGAAAAATAGTATCTTTAGCTCTTATACACGATCGAACTTTTGTGCTTACCTGGGATATGAAACATATAGTAATTGTAAGATGGGTGACATACCTATGGCGAAATATGAAAAGGATTGAGTTTTTATTATTTGCACGACCATACATTAGAGGGATGATCCAAAGCCATTAAAACAGATTTGTCTTGTCGATGTTGAAATAGCATCTGATCCAGATTAGGTTACAGTCATGTGTAGAAATCAAACAAACTTATTAAAAGCATTTGCTCTTTGTTGGAAAGCAATCATGCCAGATATACAAATTGGGTTTAATGATTCACAGTATGACTGGCCTTTTATTATAGAAAAAGCTTAAAGTTTAGGCATTCTTGAATGGATATATAATCATATGTCACCAGAACCATCCAATATTGAAGAAATTATAAAATGGAAATATCGAAAAAGTAAAATAAAGACATCTGATGAGAAATTCTACTCGAAATACCTCAAAGTCCCAGGATGTATTCCAATTGATATCTGTGCTTGTTTCAAAAAGTTATATTCAAAATCAGAAACAAGTTCACTAGAATATTATCTAAATATCTGTGGGTTGGGTAGTAAAGCAGATATGCTTTATAATAAAATGTGAAAATACTACGAAGATGCTATACTTCAAAACTTTGACAGCTCAGCCAAAAACATGCGTGAAATAGCCCATTATTGTATTATAGATGCATTGTGATGCCAGGAACTTATGGTTAAGCATAATGTAGTTAATGATTATCAGAAGGTGTCAACTATTGCATATGTTTCTTTTTCTGATGTTCATTATTTCGCAGGAGGTATGAAAGTATGTAATCTTTTGGGAGCTGAGGCTTGGAGCAGTAATATGTTATGTAGTATGATGTCTTCAGAAAATACAGAATCTGGTAAGTACCCAGAAGCTTATGTTATTACACCGATAAAGGGTCTCGAAAACAAACATCCAGTAACAGACTTAGATTTTGCCTCCTTATACCCAAGTCTTATAATAACTTATAACCTTTCACCAGATAAAATAATATTATCATGTGAAGAGGCAATAAATATAATTCGCAATAGAAAGAAGATCTACATGATTAAGTTTCTATTTAATAGTCAAACTATAGAAGCTTGGTCCATTCGTCACAATAATATATCTGAAGAAAAGGGTTTATATGCTAGAGTATTGAAGAATCTGTTTAATAAACGAAAGAAAATAAGAAAATGCCTTAATGAATTAAATGAAGAAAGTTTCGAATATAGTTGCTTAGACTCAAAACAAAAGGCAGTAAAATTATATATAAATACATTTTATAGTGAGGCAGGTAATAATCTCTCTCTATTCTATCAACTGCAGTTAGCAGGTGGAGTTACTTCTACTGAACAGCATAATATTAAATTTATTAAAAAATTTTTTGAAGACAAAGGGTTCAGTGTTAAATATGAAGATACCAATTCTTTATATCTTACATGTCCAGATGAGTGTTTCCAGGAATGTGATTGAAAATATAAATTAGATCAACTCTCACAAGAAGAGTACTGGAAGGAAATGGTAAAAATATCTATGAAAGTGATGGCAAACCTCCATAATGAAGTAAATACTGAGCTTAAAAAAGACAATGGAATGCCTTACCTTAATATGACATATGAGAAGGTTTTATTTCCTGTGGTATTTACAGGAAAGAAAAAATACTATGGTCTAGAGTATAAAAAAAAACCAAACTTTAATCCAGGTAAGCTTTTTATTAGAGGAGTAGATATTATGAAAAGAGGTCAATTTAAGCTTTTCTATAATGTAGATAAGGAAATTATGAATAGAACTTTGAAAGTCGGTAATGAGAAGACAATATACCAGATTGTTGAAAAAGTTCTTTGGGAAAATATGAAAAAACTTTCCAAGTTAGATCATGATGAATTTATTCAAATATGTATATGAAGGCCTAAAAAGAAAGGTAAGCAGGGAAATATTTTTGTAGAACAGTTTGTTTCGTGAATGGGGGCTAAGTATTCTCGTGAAGTATTGAAAAATTAACAGCTTATAAAGAAGGGGTTTCCTGCTAACAAATGCCTATATAAAGTTACCAAACCTGATGAATGATTTAGTTACATTGTAGTAGTGCCTGAAGAGATTTATGATAACTGCAGGAAAAAAATACTACAACAAAAAGGAGACTGTATAGAATACCCAAATGTAGTAAAAAAGTTCAACAAGAAAATAAATATTGATTATTATATCGAAAGTCTATTTGGTCTCTGTACTCGTTTTATAAATTATGATAATAAATATCAACTATCATCTGAATCTCTCTTAAAAGTCATGGATCACAAAAAAAAATCCAAGAAGAAGAAATTAAAAATTGCTAAGGATTTATTGCAGAGCAATGACTCTCCGAGTTTAGATGAAGATGAAATAGCAAAAATTAAAGATGAAGAGTTACAGAAGTTGGCTAAAAAATGGCTCAAAAATTATATTAAGAACTTATGTGATGCACTAAAAAAAGATGAAGCCATTATCTCCTATTTATGGAAAAATGCTACTACTCAAGCTGAAAAAATATGTTCTGGCATTAGTAAAGCTGGCATAACTAGATCTTCAAGCATCTCTGCAGAGCATAATAATTACCTTAATATATTAGACAAAATTACAAACTCTACTTATTCAAAATTATTGAATCTACTTTCAAAATTGTCTAAGCTTAATGTAGAATATAGAAATGCGATATATGATTTAATTACACAGGTGCAAAAACGCAAACCCAAAATTACAATTCTGGAACAATATATATTTTTATATGATTTGGAATTAGAGTATCGAGAATTAATAGATTTCCAGAATATATGATATAAGGTGGTTGGCCTTGAAATTACCTGGCTTCAAGTATTATCAATACATATGGCAGTAAAAAAGATAACCCATTAGACATTGATGATATCATTGACCTATATTGTTAAGTATTTTTAGCTAAGATTGTTACAATTTACTAAGATATTTATACAATATTAATAATATTTTTTCGTACATAAATAATATCCAAGTTTAAATAGATGTTCACCTAATCCACATATTCTGCAATCAATCACTTTTTTTATGATCCTTTAGAGTTACTCCTTCAGCCTGCAGAGCAATGGCACTTCGAGCCTACCTATATTCCATGTACGTCTTACTAACCACACAACCGCAATAATTAACAGAGCAAGAAAAATATATGCTGATAGTGGTGACATCAAAGTGCTTGCTACAGCAGAAAGAGGCAAAGCCTCAGGATCAGACCTCATCTGAGAATTCGATTCAATTAAAGCAGACATATTATCCTTACTAATTTCGCTAATGCTAGTTTCATTACTTACCTTAGAGTTGGCCTTGGTATCATTTTTTGATAGTTCAGTAATCTCTTCATTAGTATATGTTAATATATTATCATTGGTTTTTTCGATTTGATCTATATTTTTTCCATGTATAAAATATTTACTGAGATTGGTACTACCCAAAGATATATTATCAGACTTAGTAATATTTTTTTTGTCATCCCCACCAACTATGGGTTTCGATATAGTCTCTGATTTCAGACACTCAAGCTCATTGACCTTCGATGAGACATAGTCTTAAGGCTTTGCCTCTTTCAATTCGCTCTTTATATTTTCTAATTTAGCTATTTTGGATTTGAGGGATGTGATCTCAGTTTTTTTTTTCTGATGAGTCACTTTGAATCGAAATTATATCTTTCTGGGCTGAAGATAACTTACCTTCCAATATCTTGATCATAGACTTAAGTGATTTGATTTTCTTGGATTTTATATCATTCTCAGCTTTGGACTTCGCAAGAGAAATGTCTTTATTAATGTTTTCAATCTGTAAACATTTAGCTTCATCAATAAGTTCAAATTATGAGTATGTAATTTCTGGATTATAGCATTGAACCCATCTAGTTTCTGACTCCATTTTTTTCTCTCCTGTTCCCACTGTTTTTTTTCCTGATTCTACTTCTTATTTTGTTTTAATTGATTAGCTCACAATGTTTTATTGCAAGCATTTAATTTGGATATAATTTTTTCACCATAATGCAATTCTTCATTGATATCCATAATATTAGTAAAATTTGCTTTGTTAAAAAATTAAAAATTTTAAAAGCAATAGGATTATTTGATATATTTGATATGTTTTATTTTTTCAAAAAATTAGGAAACTCTTTTCTTATTCTACATATTTTCTCAATATATTATATTTTTCTGATATATTTGATTTTCTCCATTATTTTTTATATTTTAATATATTGTATTTTTCAAATAAAAATAGCTACTGTGTAGTTGCTTCCAGCAATATGGTTAGACCATATATAAAATTTGGCACACCTTTATTTTTTTCAGCAGATTATGATTATATTATGCAATGCTGTGATATAGAACCAAGAAATGAAATTTTAAAGAATTTATTAAAAAAATATAGAAAATTTCAAAATGGATTTATCAAATCTGAAGAGAAGAAGAAGCTAATAGGGTTGCTTGGGATCAACCTATACCTCAAGCATATAATAATGATACTAACATATCAAATTCTACTACAGATGTTCTTCATATAGAATCCCCGTCTTTAAATAAAGATAAAGTTCCATTGCTATATAATAATATTTCAGAAGAACCAAATAAACAAACAAAAAAAAGAGATCCAAATCTATTCGAAAATCTAACTTGCCTATTATTACTAAAGATTTAACAGAAAAAATAGATGAAAAGCCTGCATATTCTATTGATACACATGCTTGTTTTAGATGTACTGTTGAAAAGAGTAGGAAAATTTTATCAAATTCAGGATATAAAATTGATGAGTTATAAAGTATAAAGTTTGTTTATTCTACTTTCTATTTTCTTTATTGGGTAATTCAATGTAGCAATGAACGAGAGCATTAAGATTAGTGATAATTTTAGTTGCATTATACATTTTTTCCTCATACCTCTCACAATTTACACATTTTTTTTTAAAGTTAAATTATCAGAATCTAGTCTAAAACCTGCAGGAGCATGCCATTCCTCCAATGGATCATTATCACTCTCATTACTATCTGCCTCTTGAGAAATTTGATCAGATACCAAAGGCTTATTGCAAAGCAATGGGACTTCATCTCTATCATTCTGAGATGTAGTAGCACAATTTACTTCAAGATTATTTTTTACCTTGTGCATAGTAACTAGAATAATGTGATCCTTTCTATTAAAAGGAATTTTCAACTCATCTTTACCCCAATCTATAGCACATTTATATTTCTTAAGAAGTGGGTTTGAAAATATCAATGTTGGTTTAGAGACATATACAACTACAAAATCTTTACGTATAGTAAAACCTGAAGGAAATGTTATTGGAAAATTACAAGCAATACCAATAGATTCTGTTGGAACTATAGCAACCCCACTAAGATTATATTTTTCTGATTTATCAATTGGCCAATTTACATGTTTAACAATGTTTTCTGATATAATTAGAGGTTCAGCTTCATTATCTAGTACCAATGCTGGAATTTTTAAGCATTTGATTTTAACTGGTATAGTTGCAAGGCTTGTGATAGGTTCCTTTCTTCGAACAAAATCTATCTTTATAGGATCATTCAATGTCTCCTCTTCACTATTGGATTCGGGTATTTCTGGGGCCAGCTCTTGATAATTTATAAAGTCAGATTTTGCAGGCTCTTTAGAGGCAACTCTTCAAGTCATAGATAAATTCGAATTATTAATATTGTTTTTAATTGTTTCTATAACCTCTAGATCATTAAACATAGCTAGAATAATTTTTTGAATTTGTGAGTCAATAATCATATCTGATTTCTTTTGTAAAGTAAGTTTTTTTGGACTAGATTTCTTCTTAGAGGATAATTTAGGTATGTAAGCATCCTTATTTCGTAAGCCAGATTTCTTTACTTTTTTTTTATCTTGCTAATGTTAACATTCATACTTTCAACTTCAGATGAAGACTTCTCAGACTCAGATTTATTATCGGAGGAATCAGATCCAGAATCACTACTGGAAGAATAATTAGTATCAGAATTGGAATTTATAAAAACCTTATTGACACTACCTTTCTTTCTGGACTGGCTCTTCTTTTTATTTCTCAGACATTTAGGAGAATTTGAACGATGCCCAATCTTATTACACTTTAAACATCTGTGTTGTGTCTTCATAGCTTTTTTCATAGCTTTATTTACAACTGCATTTATTGATAGCTTACTTATATGATTAGCTAGCTCTTCATCAGAGTCAACTTTACTCTTTTTTATTATTGGTTTTGGGGGTAAATCAGGCTTTGGAATAGGAATAAATTCTGAAACTTTCTCAGTGATCTATTGTAAAAATCTACCAATATTTGTATCTCGTATAGTCTGGTACATTTCTGGGGGTTGTGGTCCATAATAAGCTTTAGATGGCTGTGTTGGTTGTATTTTCTGAGAAACTAATTGTGAAGAAACAGGTTGGGTTTGTGCGGGTGTTGTTATAGATTTTATCAAGTTTCTAACTTCAGTTTCGGTCATATCTGAGTAATTATCCTTTCTATGAGCTTTTTTTGAATCTGAGTTTGAATACAGGTAAGCTCCAGATAATTGCTCAGCCTTATATCTTTCAATCTCTTCAAGTTCTGTGAGCAATTCAAAAACAGGCCTGTTAATTCCAATACATCGAATTTCTAATTGATTATCAGAAGAGATGCCATGAAGAAATTGTAATCGAATTTGTTGTTCATCAATGCCAGCGAGTCTAGCCAATTTACACAATTTTGAATAGAAATGACCAACAGGATCACTACCCTGAACTGCTGATCCAAAGATCATTCGTTGTTTTTCTGCAGTAATGGTTAAATAGTTAGTCTTGAGCCAGTATATTACTTGACCAAGTCGAACCCCACTTGCCACCACAGATTGACCAATGTTGGCATTTGGTAAATTTATTACATGATCAGTTGGATGACCATCAGCAAAAGAGCAGTCCTCATCAAATACTGTATAAGCTGGAATAACAATATTTCTGGCTTGACTCACAGCACCATGTCTTAAATTTGCACCAAGTTGCACTGCCATTCATCCTTAAACCAGAGCTAAAGTGGCTTGCTCAGTGTTATCCAGTAAATTTCTCAGTTCCTAATTCTTTCTTCGAAAAGACCTTTTATACTAATCTTTGGCATCACCTTTAAGGCATGTTTCAAAGAGTCCATGTGCACGAACTCTATTGGCATGCCCACCAGCTATATCGATTTTGGTAGCCACAAGATATGAATGAAAAGAATCAATAAACTTCTCTGGATCTTCATCGGAATATCCATGGTAAGTTGGAGGTGCATATTCTGTCATACCTCTTCTATTGTTATTTATAGGTGTGTTATTCTGTAGCGCAAAAATTTGTTAATTTAAATTATTAATTAATTGTTCAGAATTTCAGACTCGGGCTTTCCACTTACTTCACTTGTTGTTCAGTTGAACATCAGCAAGTAATAGATCATTTTCTAGAGTCTTGCATTTATTTTTCTACTTATTGTATCGATTTGTTGTAAGATTTAAGAGATGTGTAGTAATTGCCCTATCTGTCTTACAATCTTGTAGTTGCTAGCTATTTTGCTGGGCTTGAATCTGAAATTGTCTATTTAAAAGGCGTAATAGAAATTTTTCTTGAAGTAGCTCTGATATACGCTTATTTTTTTCTATACAAGTTGCTTTTAATAAGTAATAATTAAGTTTGTGGACTCTATAAGCTTGATAAAGAAGATCATAATCATTTTGAAGCGTGGCTAACTGGGTTTGTGAATCAGCTATCTGGGTTTGTAAATCAGCTATTTGGGTTTACAAATTTGTTAGCTGGGTTTGCAAATCTGCTACTTGGTTTTCAGCATTAATTGCACGAGCATTTGCCCATGGGTATATTTTTAGTACTAATCGTTCAAGCCTATTATCAGCATCAGAAAATATATTAAGATAATTTACAATATCATTTAATGTAGGTGTTATTGTAGTTAGGCTTTGAAAATACCATCTAATATTATCAACCTCTCGCTGAATTCTATGATTCTGAATCATAGCTTGATTTTTGGGTAAAGATAATCTGGGCGATTCTGGTTGTTGAGCCATATTGCAAAGCAATGATTCTTTGAAACTATCTATATTATCATTGCCATTTTTATATAAAATAAGTATTTTTATTTTTTCATTAAGCTTGTCTATTTCATCCTGAAAATTTACTAACTGTTTTTTCAAAAAATCTATATAATTCTCTCCGCTTTTAGAATCTTGAAGTGCCTTTTCTAACTGTTCTTTGAGATTAGAAATTTCTTGTTACAATAGATCCAAATTCTCATCTCGAATCAAAATTTCTTTTTCGAGATATTTAATATAATCTTCTTTTAAGGCTAGATTCTGCTGTAATTTACAAAATTGATTTTTTATTATTTGCAAACTATCTTCAGTTTGAGTTAGCTATTTGTGCTAATTTTTGGTGTCATTGCAGTATTTTATAACATAATAAACAAGAATCAAAAAATTAGTTTTTTGTATATGAGTGAACCTACTATTATTATAAACCCTAATGAGGAATTGCAAATTGTTCTTCGTATGATCTACTATAATGTGCCTGGCTTTTATTTCAATTCTAGAAAAATACGAAAAATATGTATAAAAGAAGGATATACTTATTTTCGACTTAAAGATATCACAAACTGATTAGAGAATTAGTATGATTACCAGATATATCGACACCCACCAAAGATTAAGGCCCAGGCTAGCTTTTCTAAATGCTGAATTCCTAATAAATTACATCAATGTGACCTACTCCCCCATGTTCATAATGATCAGAAAAGAGGAAAAATATATTTACACACTTTGGTGTTGATAGACATGGCAACTAGATATAAATGTGCAGTAGCATTAACATCAAAGACTAGCTCAGAGATTTGGAACGTGATCAAAAAAATATACAATAATCCTAAAAATCCTCTCAAGTGGCTAGCGTTGTTGATGATTGATGGTGCTGATGAGTTTAAAAAATCATTTGCTAAAGGAATGGAGTGATATAATGTTCCTATAAGAGTTGTCGATCTTTATAGCTTTGAGAGCTTAGCATTAGTTAAAAAATTCAAACAAGATTTGGCTAGACTTATATACAAAATTCAATATGCCATAGAGAGAAAACTTAAAGAAGGTGAACACTCGAAATTATGGAACAAGATACTTCAGAAAATTATCGACTATATGAATAATAATAAAACTCGATTAATAGGCATGTCATCATCATATGCAGTGACATTGGGAGAAGTAATATCTAAAATATCTACTAAATCTAAAAGACCTATTGGAAAGGATGAACCACTATTACAGAAGGGGCTTACAATAAGATATCTATTAAAACCTGATGAGCTAGAAGAAGGGCATATGTATAGAAAAACTGACCCGTAGTGGTCATTGCATATCTATAAAATCAAAAAAGTTATTGTTGGTAAAAATCCACCACAGCCAGTCTTATACTATCTTGAGGATGAGCCAATTGATTCAACTAAATATTTAATAGGTCATAATCCCAAAAGACCTTTTAAGAGAGAGGTGCTCCAAGTAATCGAGAATCCTGAAAAGGTTGAGTACCCACCTGATGAGTTTATACAAAAATATCACCCCTTTGGATGATACATTTCATTTGTGTTTCTAATAATGAATTTGACAGAGCGCAACGATATACTGGAAGACATGATGGAAGTATCTTAGCTAAAACTGTGTGAATAAATAATCAGAATATATTCCTCTGGACTTGTAAAAATAGACTGCATCAGTTTGAGTACCTGTTTCCATTGATTGCAATGAAATTTGAGTGGTGTCCAGTTTGTTTTCACAATAAGAATAAGTGATGCTATAAGTACATTTTTGAGGATTTATTAGATAAGAAGTTCCCACTATGTCGAATAAATTTTTAGGTGGACTCTGACTTGATGGATATAACAAGAAATTGTGCCTAGCATAAGAGCATCAAGGAGTACAACACTATCATCAGAATGCAATGTTCCACAAGCAAGGTCAAATTGATTTGGATAAGCAAAAGGCATGTAACAAAAAAAAGCAGAAGATATGCAAGAAGCAAGGTATAGATCTGATTGAAATACCATTTAACTCGGATTTATATGCATTTATAAAAAGTAAATTACAAGAGAGAGATTATTTATCACATAAAGAATAAACACATAAGTATTACTTAGCTTGAATAAGATGAAAGAGAAAGGCATGCCTATATTTGTATATAATATCGACAAAACATCTAACAAATTCTCAGAACGAATAAAAGATAATAAGTATTCACCAGATGCCCCATTCAGATTACTGAAATGTGGAGGCTTCCATAGCAGAAAAACTAACATGGTTATAAATCTTATGCTTGGTAACAAACTACAACATATGTTCAAAGGGAAAAAAGGTCAGTGGTATATTAGAAATGATGACCTTATATTAATAGGCAAGCATTTTGAGCCTAAATGGCAACTTGTACAAAATAGCTATTAGATCTTTGCAAATAGCCTGAAACCATATCGAGAGGATGTTATATTCAAAAGGTTATCTTCAGATAAAATTCCAGATATAACTAAATTTACACCAGAATGAAGTACAGTTGTTGTGTTCGAGGATTTATATGCTGAGCCAAAGAAAGTACAAGAATGAATTATTCCATACTTCATTAGTGGCCGGCATTAAAATATCTCACCCATATATGTGAGCCAGAAATATACACAAACTCCTAAAATTATCTGTGAAAATCTAAGCCATCTTGCATTATTTAACAATGGGGGGTTCCGAGACGACATTTATAGAATCGTGCGACAATATACAAATAATCTGAAAAAAGCATCCAAAATTATTGATAAACATTTGCGGAATCAAGATTTCATAGTCTTTGACTTTACTAAGGCAGTTGATGATTCTCTCACAATTAGATTGAGTTGGGACTCACCATTGAAATTAGATAAATAGAATAAGGCTTGACAATTAATAATTATTTTTTCTGCTATAATTTTGTCTTATTAATATAAACACATTCTACTCATTACTGAAATTTTTTGCATATCATGACTATCCTAGGAATAAGTATAATAAATAAAAAGTGAGGTGGATACATTCAAACTATTTCTCATCTTGTAGCTCAGTGGACTAAACCGCAGAAAGCTTGTTCAGTCTTCCTCTCCTCACTACGTAGACAATGATAGCACCCTTAAAGCAGTGTTTTTATAAGAGTAGAATAAAAAAATAAATTTTAGAGAGGAAACAGTCAGATCCTAGGCCTACCTTGAAAGGTTATGACTGCACCTGAGAAAACTATATTATTAAGAGCGACTAGATTATGTATTTTTTGCAAAACAAGCAACTACCTTTACCAAAGTACTGAGCTACCAAATAGTAATTATGAGTATGTTAAACCTCACAGTACACTTAGTCAGAGGCCCTATCACTTCAATAGTTGAAACAAAATTTTTTGCATAACTAAGTATACTCGTAACAAATAGTTATGGCAATTGTCTTATCGACACAAAAATAATCCAATCTAAAAGGATTTAAAATTTTTCAAGAGAATAAAAAAAGATTTATATAAGGGCAATCTAAACTATTGTTATATAGCTCACATTAATATTAGGCTGAGTAGAGGGATGAAAACAAATATGTAGTATTTTTTTAACAAGTATTATGGCATGTAAATTATACTTTATGTTTTTAAGAGGCTTATTTACCCAATAATAAACATTTGTACAATATAACCAAATAATGTTTCGACATTAATTTTCTGAATTTTTGATCGATTTACAAGTTTTATATAATCACATGAGTATATAGTAGTCAAAGCAAAATATATAAATAATATGTTATAAATCTGGAAGCAGATCTTCTGCCCTTAAACCTCGTCGAGCATGTGCTAAATCTATGAAAATATTTGATTACTAATAACAATAATAATTATATTTTTACATATTAACTGTAAAATAATTCATACTTATATATCCTCATCTACAATCAGAGACAGTGGAAGGGATTTGTATTTGGCTTGCTTTCAGTTTGAAAAGTTGGTTATGATGGTTTAAATCTTAAGCATTATTAAGGTCCTGCTCAGAAACTATTGGTCCATTAGCTTTCTCAATTCTAGCCTCAAGATAAGTAGGATTAAAATCCTGTAAATTATAAAAGAATATATCATGCACAAAGTACACAAAACTATGCTAGATGCCTTTTGTAACTGTAAAATTACCATAGAGCAATAGACAGGATGCAAATGCCACTACTTGTCCTGGCTGAAGATGTACAACTACTTGAAGTTGAGGAAAACATAATTCTCTTCCTTCGAAATCCCCCAGTGTGACTAAAACACACAGACTATTTGGTTCATCATGATTATCCCAATAATAGTCACTAATGGTATTAAAGTTGATGGCTATTATTGGGAAAACTCCAAATACTCTTGGAGCGAATGGGCTCCATGATAATTTACTCAATTTTGTATATAAATCCATATAATATTCTTGAAGAAACTGATTGATACTTTCTGATAATTTTCTAAGACCCCGAAGTAATTTACTAATGCATTCATGATGATTAATATTATATATACTCGCAATGTTAGAGCTTGTGAAGAGAAGTAAATTGTTTCTTGTATAAGCTCCAAAATGCTCAATAAAATTGATTCAAAATTCTTTACTTCGGTGTGAAGGATTTTCTAATAAATAGAAATAGTACCAATTTACAATATTAGATGCAGTTGTAATAGCATCTGGATCATCAAGTTGCTCCAAGTGAATTAATGTTCAGTGACCCAAGTCTGTAATGCACTTAGGTTCAAAAATATGTTCAAGTTGAACTAGCTTATCTAGCAATTTGTTATTATTTCGTGCTAATACGATAAGCTGTGTTTTTTCTTTTTGACTTTTACTTATAGTAGCTGTATCGAAGAAATTTTGCAACTCAACATAAGCATGCTAGAGTTTTTTCCATAATAGTCTGAGGTGTTCTCGTACATGCTTCCTTCTTAGCAGTCCTTTTGATCACTTTAAATCTAACTACCGCCCGAAAGCAATCCACAATCATTTGTTATTAGTATTGTTATAGGATAGATTTCTATTATTGTATTATTTATTAGTTATAGTTTCTTTAATGCTTTAAACATTTTAATGCCTTAAGCTTGTGATACCAGTCACTTAGTCTCTTAGTGTAACTAGTCGCTTAGTCCCTTAGTGCAACTAGTCGCTTAGTCCCTTAGTGCAACTAGTTACTTAGTCCCTTAGTGCAACTAGTCGCTTAGTCCCTTAGTGAAACCAGTCGCTTAGTCTCTTAGTGCAACTGGTCACTTAGTCGCTTAGCTGCTTAACTCACAGATATATAAACCCTCTAAATTCCCCCAAGTAGAAAAGCATTCAATTCAACAAGTTCCATATCAAACAGTTCCCAAGAAACAGACAATTCCTCTTCTTCTTTATCCTGTAATTTATACCTTGAATCCTTTAGGACAGGCGCCTAAGGATCACCCTTCTTGCAATTCTTTAATAAATGACTTTAACCATAAACTACTATGTAATAATTATCGAACTGCCTCAGAGATGGGTATAGTTTCTTGACAATGTCTAACAGAAGCTATACTTCCCTCTTGGACACCGCATATACCCGTAAGGGATTCCCTGTACTGTGTCATTGTTGTAGTGTAGAAATAAGAAGGCTTCCACTCTATAACAGTATCAACATCCAATGATTCTTTAACATTATTTTTTTTCTTAATAATATCACTATAAACTAGAGATAAAAAGTCCAGAGGAATTTCAGGTAAGTCAATAGAATTATTGCTAGTAGATGCCTCTCTTAGTAACATTTTAATAAGTAAGTCTTTAGCTGATATATTATGTTGAGTCCTAATTTTTTTAGAAGATATTCTATCAGAAGGACAGAGAGGAATGCTTCTCCATTCCCTTTCCAAGTAATAAATATTGTCAATAGCAGACAATTTTCAGGTGGCAGATTGGATTCTATGCTAGTAAAATAAAATAATAGATGTGAGCTTTTTTTTTTTTCTAAAAGATTGCAAATTTTTGTAGAATGAATGAGTCTCCCTCACCATACCCAAGATGGATCAAAGATAATATTATCGATTACTAGAAGAATATCATCATTCAGGCTATGAAGCATCTCGGTTTGTTTTTGCTTATGCCTAAGTTTTTTATTTTTATATATACGGGCCTGTCTTGACAATTTGGTTTTAGTAGATTCATCCTGTAATACAATCACCTCTTCCTTTTGTTTATTATTTAATGTTTGCATTGCAATTGCTGTCTTTAATAAAAAAAAAGAGGTAAATATTTGTATTGCATGAAGTATAAGATTAGTAGGTTGAAAAACAATAAGTTTGATTATTGAAAGAAAGCCCTCTTTATTGGAGAATTTATATAACAAATTATAGTATGTTATATTCAGTATTGAATTTAAGTCAATCACGTGTCACTACAATAATTTAACACTTTATAATAATTTAACACGATAATTTCTATGCTAACAATTACATATTTACTATATTCGGCACCACAATTATTAAACATGCCAACAATTGCACATTTTCTATATTTGGGATTAGATCATTAATAACCTGTTGAGTAGGTATACTAATACAGTGTACGATAATAATTTTACATGCTATATTTAAGCCTGATTTACAAATTTAGAATAACTGGTATGCACTTCATTATAATACCAAACCATGTTGATAAACATCTAGTATTATTTTTTTTTTATCAAAGTGCGATACATGCTAAAAAAATAAAGTACGTATGTATGTATATGTCATACTATCATATAACTCAACGGTCCCACAGGTCCGCTTTTATTTTGGCCTAGGTCAAAGCTAAAATAGTGAAAATTTAATATTCATGTTTATCAGATAAAAAGTTTACTGGCTTTAATAATCAATGGCTAGCATTAAATTTTATGTGGTGTTACCTTAATTTCTCACAGTCGATTTTTGATAACAAATATCGATATCTAGAAAGCCTTTTCTTATTATATAAGATCCTGTGATAAGAATGGATCTTAAAAAGGCTATAAGGACAATGAGTATAACGTTCTTTATCACTAGTTTAATCAAAATTTATATGTTGTATGAACTTGAGATCTCCACCATCTCAAGATTGTCAAATCTAAATCTACCTTAAGCAATCATCAAATCTAAGAGGGTTTAATTTTACCTAAAAAAATAATAAATAATAAAATACATTCAGTATTTGGAATATATGACTGAGCGGAGTTGCTTTACATGATGGAATCTAGATTGTGTTACCCTACCACAATTACTAATCATGTAACTTTCCTTCTGGCAGGTTTTCTAGATCTAGCGAATAGACATTATAAAAATAAGCAAGTTTCTGTCTATAAGATAAGTCAACAATAACATTATTTTTTGCTCATATATATTTTTACTTGATTTACCTGCCTGTAATTTATTTTTAAACTAATTTTGCTATTTCATTTAACGGAATCTATGAAAATGAATTTTTACTTACCATGATTTTTTTCGTATTAGGTACAAAAAATGAGTGCTAACAATAGTACCACCTTCAAGACCAACAATACCACTACTCCCAAGACTAATAATAGTACTACCTCCAAGACCAACAATACCACTATTCCCAAGACTAATGATAGCACTACCACCACGAGTAATAACACTACCACCTCCATGACTAACAATTCTAATACCCTTCAGACTAACAATTATAACACCCTTAGAACTAACCAAAAAACACAAAGTTCCAATCGACAACATAACAATAGAAGAAACAGACATAGTAAGTAGAAGCATAGTCTTATTGCTTTTGCAATAAAATTCTGCTAAAGCTAAGAAGCTAAGACAATAAGCTAAAGAATCTCAATTTATTAATTTAGATGATCCAGACTATGATCCTGAAGATGACAATTTTCTTGAAAGTAATCCTTTTTATTATGTTTCAAAAGAATACACACAATATTGTATAGATAATGATGACCATAATCGTCTAAGTTGTAGGAATGCACTAAATATTCTAGATCAAAGTTAATATATATTTTTTTATTTGTATGTCGTTTTGGCAAAAAAAAATTTATTAAATAAAGAAGAAGGATCCTGTGGCCTTCCCATGTTTTATTTTTATGTGATTGTATAAATAAGTAGAAAGTACTGGCATAATGTGATATAAGGGTTTTTTTCTAAAGTTATACATATTCAATAAATATCGAATAGTTCTCTTTTAATTCCTTATTATATTAATATCAAGTAGGAGGAACATGCATTCTGGTCTCAAACTCTCACTTATATTCTAAGTTTATTTCATTTATACTTTCACGTTCTTTTTTCCAATATTTATCATTATCCTGAAATTCAAAAGCAATATGGAGTCTTTCACATTAAAAGGGCCCATTTTGCAATATAAAAAATTTCAAGATAATTAAGTTTAATCATTTGTTTTAATTTTCAGACTGATCCGGAATTAAGCAAATTTTACGATTTTGATTGGTTAAAAGTAACAGGTAACTATTGGGTAATCTCGAGATGTGCTTGGCCTTAAATAGCCTCATGTAATTTTTCTTTTACATTATCTCCATTTTTTATTATATTAATCGCCTTTAATTTATAATTGAAAAATGTCAGTCATGTCAAAATTTATATTAATATAATACAAACTCATTTTTTAAAAAAATTGCAAAATGGGCCTTTTTAATGTGAAACACCCCATATTATCTCACCATTCATCTAATATTTTTTTTTGGCATTTGTTACAAAAGAATAAGAGCATTTATAACTGATTTTTTTTTAACTTAATTATGTATATACTTACCTTTACTCTTCTTTTTGTAGAAGTTTAGCATAGCAATAGGTAATATTTCTCCTACCTTTTTTCTTCCAACTTTTTGCAAGAATTTAGTAAAGCAACAAATAATATTTCATACTTACCTTTATTCGTAGCCTTCTATTTAAAATCAATAAAATGAGATCAATGATCTAGATGCAAAATGAAAATTATTGTCTCTTTGTTAATGATTTGGAATTACCAGAATATGTTAAATATAATGAAATTTTTTCTAAAATCTAATAAGTAAACAATTAAAATTTTATATAAAAACGTATAATCAAAGTCATAAGTCATGTACCCTTTATAAATGACAATGATCTTTGACTATTCATGTAAGTCATAACAAGTCATCGGCCAACATTGTATAATACTACTACAACAATGTGGATTTATTTAAAGTACGATCTATGAATAAAAATAATGCCAATTGATATGAAAGTCACGTTAAAATTCTTATTTAACACAGTGAAGGATATGAAACTTTTTATTATAATGAAAGCACAGATACAAACCGATTCTAAGTACATTTCGTGCTATGACTTTAATTCATTTTGTACTGTATCGTAAAAGATAGAATACCATTCTTAATTTTTTTCCTGAATCCGCACTTCTTGATAATTATGCAGGATCCAATTTTTCACCGTCTCCAAGTGATTCGAATTATTAAAATAAAATCGCATAGCTCTATAACTCTCCCAGTCCCACCAACCGAACAAGTTTAAAGTATTAAACCATTCCAATACATCTTCATTTTTCAAACTTTGAATGACGTTACCATCAGTAACCTCAAGAACTTTGTTTTTCTCAGTGAGATCAGGACCTAATCCATATGAGAAGGAACGATAACAATTGTCCAAAGATCGAAAATTCGTATCTGACTTAAGGAAACTGGAAACTCCTATGAAGACAGGGTATTTCGAATTAAGCAATCTAAAGATAATTCATATAGTTTCGAACATGACATTTTCATACCTGAATTCCAAAACCATGTCTCCACAGTCCAATTGTGTTTCAGTGCTCGTTTTACTAGAGGTCTATAATCCCTATCACCGGCAATCAGAACTAAAACACCAGGATCATTGGACGTAATTGTTTCTGTTGCTGATATTACAAGTTCTGTGTCGACTTCCTTTTCACGGTGGCTTCTGATGTCCCGATCAAATATATTCACCTCAAAACCTTGATCCCTAATGCGGGCCCACAATGAATCATTAGGAGGCGGTCGGGAACCGACCAAGAATAGTGCACCACCTAGTTTGCGTTCGCATTGAACTGTGGTGAGAAGTCTACCATGATCGATCTGGAGCTGTTTAAAGTAATAGGAATTTCTGTCAAAGTCGAAGGTACCTAACCGCTCGAGGTTTCCAACGGTGTATTTTCCCTCTATCCAGATATTCGAATTATCAATAAATACGTGTACAAGGTTAGTAGGTAGCCTATCCATTAAAGGTGTTCTCGAAATTTTCTTAATTAACTGTATTATTCTTCTGGCTGGACCAATAGGTAATCCAATTCGATAGAGATCATTTTCTTTCAAGAGAAGAAAGTCTTCACCGGCGATACTATTTTTCTTGATCATTTCGATATCACTATTCGTAAGATATAGATTTCTAGACTCTAAGAAACTAACAATTTGTGCAGGTGCCCACTCTTTAATTTCTTCGACTGAAGGAAAAGAACTTCCGGTCCTAGTGTCTTGACTTAAATTGCTTGTTTGATGTTGCAGACATTTGAGTTTGCGATTAGGTAAATTTGTTAACCAATAATCGTTCTTTCTCGTCAAAGCTTTGTTCAGGCTGGTTCGATTACTATATACGAGAAAACGCATATGGAACTTTAATCCGTTTTAAGAAGGTTAGCGACTGAATCTATGTGAACGTGGAAAATAATTATCCTTTATCACACGAATTGTTGTCACGGCATTTCTATTAAAGTGTGACCTAGCGGACATGGCTACACATGGCGCAGTAACAGGCGCTGGATAGACAGAACGTCAGAAAATTAATAAACTATTGTTTTGACCATTCTTTCGTTTGTATTTTGCGATACATCTTTGTACTCCTCGTAATATTAATAAAAAGAGAACACGATATGCTATTTTTTCGATAATATTTCAGAAAAATATATCGAGTTGCAAGTTGCATCATCATAATTAACGTTACATCTAAAGGGTAGAGTTTCAATGTTTTTTTAATCAAGAAATCGGTTGATTTAGGTTGTAGTGATAGAGTTACATGTATTATAAGATTATAAGAGATCGAAAATTCGGGATGCTTGATTAACGAAGCACTTAATTTTTTGTATTCTTTGAGGAATGACAATTTCTGGGTTTTCATCATACCATACCTCAAGAAGGAAGATTCCATTATCTTGACATAGGCACCTTTTTAGGCGATCACGATTAACAATGTCTTCGAGTTTTTTAACATCCTTATACCAACTAGTATTATGAAACCGGTGCTGTCTTCCCTGCACTTCTAATGCAATCCGATATTTTTGAAAGAAAGCATCAAATTCTAATCCATCTAAGAATGGAGGACGATACTCAATTATCGGTTCCTCATCAAGAATTTCCTCAGCTATTTGAATACATTTAGCTTGGAATTTGCGATTTTTCTTGTCAAAGGCAGTTACAAGATAGTTATATTCCGATTTCTTCGCAAATTCCTCTATAATTGGTCTTAATATTGCATTCCTTTCTTCAAGCTCAAGAATTGTCACCTTAATACGCTCAAAGAGGATTGGATACTGCAAACCGGTTTTTAATTTTACAATATCAGCCTTATTTTTAGCATATTTCTCTATAATTTGTTTTAAAAGTTTGGTATTCTCGGTCTTAAGCTTTGCAGTCTCATCCTTAAGCTTTATATATTCTGCATTTTTAGTTTCAAGTTAAGCTTTCTCGGCCATAAGTTCTGCATTCTTAGCCTTAAGCTCAGTTAATGTGGCTTCCTCTTCTAATAAATCTAATTCAGATTGCATTTTAGTAATAAAAATGATTTATTTAATTTTTGAACTAACTAGCATGAGTAATCATGTTAGTTTAATCTATAGACAATATTTTTATAATATAACAAGTCCTGTGCAAAAGTAAACCGATTATGTATGCGAAATCGGCCACCAGGGCCAGCTTTATTGAATAGCATTTACAAATAGCATTTATTTGCTAAAAAACTTATTTACGAATGCTTTAATTGTATGCTATAAAAATTATCAACCCCGATCGCTACTATAATGTAAATAAATATTGTTACGTGACAAATTTCTGCTTAAACTATCGTTATTGTTATTATCAAATCATTAACTTTGATTTATTTTTATTTATTGAATACGTATTAGCGCATTCACATCGCCTATATATTCCATCCGCTACTTTTTTGCACGTTTTGCAATATAGATGCGAATGATGGTCGCATTCGTCACAAACCTTACACCCGTGCTTCCAGCCTCTAAAGATATGCCACTTTTCGAAGTAATTTTGTTTGTTTTTATTTGTAAGTATACTATATTCTCTCATTGTTATATATTAACAGAAAAAATATAATGTGACTAAAATTTTTTTATTATACAAGCCTGTAATGTTTATGCCCCGCCTCACATGCATAAACCTTAGGTCAAGATCCGTACATGTTGATTGAATGCCTATCGCTATATTTAACAATATTGCAGTATTGGTATGTATAAACTTTATTATGAATTAAATTATATACTGTAATTATATGTATATATGATTTACTAATAAAAAAATATTTATATCACGTTGGCATCAACTTGGGGGACGCGATCTGCACTAATTAAAATGCTTTATAATATTATAAATTTGTATAGAATTGAGCTTTGAAATATAATCAGCACTATATGTTCGAATTCTCTCAATTTTTCAATTCCTATCCCCTTAACTATTTTTTTGGTATCAGGGTCATAACTTTCTCCAAACAACTTGTAGATATTTCTAGCCTTTGCAGTTTTTTTATGCAAACTATCTCTTGTAAATTCCGAAAGATTGGTTGTGACTTCACTATATACTAACCCTCTAACTTGTTGATCATTGTACCTACTGTTATCATTTTTTATTTCTTTAACTCTTTCTTCAAATTTTTTAGCAAATGGATACCAGCATCTTATTTCTTCTTGGTAAGCATGGGTTACATGTTTTTCTGCCTGGTTTGCATTATAGTATAACTGGAATAAAGTTATTGGTTTTGATTCTTTGCTATTATTTCCTCTATCATTATCATCAATCAGTTCACTTGGCATAGATAGTTCTTTTATTAAACCTTGTACTTTATCAGGTTCCATGGATTTTGTTCACTTCATGGGATAGTTTTACCACCATCTACAGATAACTTACTTACCAGCCCCGTTAGATTAGAGGTTTCTTCACCTTTATCTTCCACTGCTTCTGACATATCTATGTCCTAAACTTCAGCTGATGCCATTCCTTCATTATCTACGAAACAAATGGGACAAGTTTTTTGCTTATCTCTATTACTTTTTTCAAAACAGTTATGATGGAGTATATGACTACACATGAGCATGATAAATGCTTTGGGTGGATTTAACAAAATTTCTTCATTACATTCATGACAATTCTCTAGCTCCAGTATTGTGATATTACTTGCGAGAGAGTTTGGATGACTTTTTAAGATATTTATTCCTAAGGCTTTTAATAATTCTACTCATTTGGGATATTTTTTGATAAGTTCTCCTTCACTAAGTGGTTTGTTATTCATAGTATAGGTTATGATGAGTTGGTTAATAATGAAAATTTTTCTTATCATTTCATACTTACCTGACTATATATTATTTTTTTACTACCCAGAATTATTTGATAGCTAAAAAATAAACAGATATAATATCTAAATCAATACATTTATCTGAACTTTAACCAAATAAGTCTTTGAAATTTATTATTCATTTATTCTGTTTTATAATATATTTCTGTATTAACAAACTAATTTGCAGATTTTATGAAATCTCATTTCAGGTTTAGCAATCTGTTCATTTACAAATTATTTAGTATGGGTCAGGATCACTTGATCTTCGCTGGCAATCACAGATAAAAAATTTTGCTTAAGAGTATCGAAAAATAATTAATATAGTGAAAGCAAAGAAATGTGGTTAGTCTTTATCATAGATTTGGAATAGTCTTGCTTGCTCTGGGGATTGATTTTTTTTCTGATAATTTACCACAACATAATTTTGTGCTGATGAGATGTTATTATCAGGATTGTGGCGTAAGACTTCTTTAGCGATTGTTATAGCATAAGTTAAATTCTTTGCCCCATGTACCATTACAGCATATACAGCCCTTATTTTGCATAAATAACGAGGAATTAAATTATAGTCTTTTAAGAATCTATTGAACCATTTAACCCCTGGCTTACCTGGATCACTTATTCGACTAAAAGATATAGCATTTTGTATTCAGATTAATAATTCTTTAGCTCGTTCTTGATTCTTCTCCATAGATCTTAATTTTCAAGAAGTATCCATCTGATTTCAGTTCTTTGCATAGCCTATTACTCAAGCATCTGTAATGCATAAAGATGTAAGTTCAGCAGGGTAGATACAAAGCATTATCATAACATTTGCAAGAGCTTGTAAGTCAGGCTAAAATAAGTTTTTATAATTATAAAAATTTATAAAACTGAAGAAAACTGAAGTTTACTTGAAAAAACAAAGTAGATGTATCATAACTGTCCAATCTTTCTTTGACCAATTCTAACATAAAGTGGTCTGAATAATCAATTCTCTCAAACTCCTCAACAAATATTCGTCAATTCTTCTGAATTTCATTAGCATCTTTTGTAATATCGAGGAATTTTGTGACTTCGATTATCTGAAATAAAGCACCAAGATTTCTTAATTCTCTTCTGAGTCATGATAACTGAGAAGAACCAGCATTAGCATTTAATGCTGATAAGGCTAAAGCATAAGCTTCAGCTCTTATATCCCTAATACTAAGCTTGTTTTGTAAAAATCGATGCGCCATCTTTCCAATAGTTTCTTTCTTTAATCCTTGCGAGATTGAAATAGGATCTTGATATCTATTGGAAGTTGCAAGATTTATAGTTTTAGTTTTACCATTTCTCTGATTGGGTATCAATATACTCACCTGTTCACTGCTAAATTTAAAGCCATCCCAAAGACGTTTGCATGCCTGATTCCACTTTCTATCATCAGTAAGATTCTTAAGAAACTCTGAAGTATATTGACCAAGTTCTGATATATCCATCTTTGAGGTGAGTTTATATTTCTCAATAATTTTTGTTGCAATAGCTGATATTGTTAGATTTTATAGTAGGTCAAGTAGTTTATAAGCAATTCTTTAGATTATATACACTATAAAATTAATTTTTCAAATCGAAATTAATTATGCTTTTTCCTCTTATATCCAGAAAAAAAAGGTTATGTACTTGCAAAAGCAAGACCAGGATGTCGATTTAAAATTTACTAATATATAGGATATAACAGAAAAAATTTATAGCCTTGGAGTTGCAATTCAGACTAAATTAAAATTTACAATTTATTTTTATTTTTTATAATGCTTGGAATAGATTTCAGTATTTTTCTATACTTATGGACCATTTTTTGTAAATATTGGGTCTATTTTCCATTATATCAATCAGTGGTATCATAGCTGGATGTGACAGGGCACATAAAAAGTCCATCTGCTCTATATAATAATAATCTATTTTATCTGGTAATTGTAGAAATTCAGCTAAATCTTTTACATACCTGAAGCCATTGTGCATTAGTCTGCAGAATGTTGACCCATTATGGTTAATCTCTCTCTTGGTTAATAAGTTAACTACTTTCTGGGGTGTTTCTATTTTTAAGTGTAATGTATAGTGCCAATATATATTCGATTATATTATTACAAAATAATTTGAAAAAGTTTAAATTGATTTTATATTAAATATATTCACATAAAAAGTGAAATAGGCTTTATACGTTATATATTAAATCACTTTGAATAGAGTATCCAATCAGTCAATATGTTAAAGAAGACGATTTGGAGTGTTCAACATATCAATATGTTAAAAGTGATAGTTCGGGGTGTTCAACTTGCCCATATGTTAAAAGCGATGGTTCGATTTGTAGAAAAGGTTGTTGGCGGGTCAAAGGGTGTTCATTGCACTAGAAATTATATAATAGGAATATAGCAAAATTTCCTTGTGGGATCTGCAGAAAACTAACAATTTCTGGGACAGGATATTGTCCTGAACATGCAAAGAGGGTTTACTTTCGAAATTGGTATGAGAGACAAAAGGTACAGAGAATAGAAGTAGATGAATAATTGTATAGATCCTGATATTAAGTATTACAAAAATGGTATTCGTAATAGGATATTTTTTACAAGTATCAATTTTAAGCATCACAAAAATGGTTTTCGTAATGGATTTTTTACAAGTATCAATTTTAAGCATCACAAAAATCCCCTTTGTAAAATATACCACGAACTCTAAATACTTGTTTTAAATGATATCGAATAAGTCCTGAGTATTTTGTGAGATACAATTAGGAGATGGTTCTAATTCATCAGATGAGAGTTTACTATATCCATAATGCATATCCTCACCATTTTCATAAAATTGCCCTTTATCTGTTTGATATGGTGGTAATTTGGAAGCATCCTTATAGTCAAATATTCCAACTAGATGGTAATGCGTATTTTTATTATTAGTAGTTTTAAACTTTACCTTAAAGATTGCAAAAAGTGCTGAATTTAATAAACCAAGTTTTGCTTTATCCAATTTTAAGCCAGATTTTTTAGCACTATGAGATGCATCTGTATTATCAAAAATCTGAGCCATTTTTGGTACTAAATTTTGGAGGTATTGTATCGATTCTGATGAGTTTAAGCATGTTTTGACATTAATAACTTTATATCTATTTCGATCATCAATATCTTTAATGGGTGTATAAGTCTTTAGTAATTCCAGACAAATTTGATACTTCTCAGCTTGGGTAACAGTTGTAAGTCTATCATTTTTATAATCTTCACAGATAATAGCCTCAACCGCTGTCTTATTATTAGCACCTGCATCTTGTAGTTTTTAGAGGTTTCTGAACCATTTCATATGATCATATTTACCGTAATCTGTAATAAATTCTTCAGTTATAGATTTAGGTGATACTCCATAGCAATCTGCAATATGATACTGGTTTAACACATATATTTCTTCTAAAGTCTTCTTTGGCTTGTTTTCTAGGTGTCTGGCCATCTCATGATTGAGAATATTGGCATTAGCAATGTCTAAAATTTCCTTTGCTTTAATAGCTGAAGAATACCCCTTTACTGTTTCAGTTAATGTCATGGTATCATCTTTAGCTTTTGGAGTAGCTTTTATTATAGAAATTATCATACCTGCCTTTTTAAGAAAATCTACCATTCTCTATTCAAATAAACAATGAGATCGGAATTTTTCCAACATATATGCCACCTATAATCGAATTGTTGGAATATCCTTATTTTGAATTATAGATTCTACATTGGGGAATATTCCTCTATTCTGAAGCTCTGGAGGTAGAGATTCTCATTTTGCTTTTAATAACCAATTAAATAACTCTTTTTTCGTATAGAGACATTAGATGCTCTTTGCTCAATATAACACACATAATTCTTGATACATCTTATACAGAATAGCATTTGATTTGTTTCAGCATTTGTTTCGATATAGATGTTAAAGAAACAGAATCCCTACTCAAACTTGTGGTTAGTACAAGAAACACTTATTTTTAAAGTGCTAGTGTATGCAACGAGGTCCACCTCTTTCCACGTTTCATTAACATTACCAAAATCTTGAGCCTTTTTAGCCAAATCAGACTTATCATGATAATTTTTAATATGTAATTCAGGAAAATTGATTCTAAGAGCATGAACAATCTCTTGTACATCTTTTCTGAGATGACAGATAAGAGATGCACTTTTTTGTTCATTGGAAGGTAATGAAGACATTTGCTTAGCCCATTCCCAGAGTTCAGCTAATACAGTTTCTTTATTAGAAGCCAAGCGAAATGTTTTACCTTTTTGGAATTGATAGATGTTATGGATAACTGAGAAGAGTTTATTTCTGTGAAGGTTTTTTATCCATTCGATATTAAGGTCTGTAAGATCATTATTCATAGCAATAATTTGCCTCGTCTCTTGAATTAATTTATATAAATCCTCTCTTGATCACCCTGCTAAATGGGTGTGAACTTGAGCAATTATAGATACTATTTCATCAAGCCATAAATCATATAGTATTGGAGAACATTTACATTTCTTTTCGCATCTACATTTATTAATAATGCGATGTAAACTCTCTATTTGATACACTACTCTTTGATAATCTGGGAGGTTAATATTACTATCGATATCAGTATATGATTTGAGGTTGAGCCTTGTAGTAACGGCACTAAAATAAGTGTGTCATGTAAATAATACAAGTAAGTTTATGCCATCAGGTATTGTAAGATGCTCTAAAGTATAAGTTTTTCCTATCTCCCAAGGTGAGCCTACATATACATCACCTTCTTTAAGTAAAGGTTCTACATATTGCTTCTCATACACTTCTTTCGTGGTAAGAAGAGATTTACATTTAACCCAACTCAGCATTTCTAAAAAGGGTTTCAGAAACTTTGGGCCTTTTATTTTGGGATAGTTGGGGGTATTATTATTTTTTTGTTGGATTTTTTCTGCAATAGATGGGTTGTTAAAAATTTCACCTTTTTCATCTCTATTTTGCTAAAAGCATTTCACAATAAACGAACCATCATAACGCATGTGACTGAACTACCGCTGATCCTTGTCATGTGTGCATTTACAAATTGAACATTCTAGATATGCTTTCTAATTAAAGTATACGAAATACTGAGAATTTTTTTTTTCGATATCCCACCCTTCAAGATAATCAGAATATTTTTGCAAAACTAGATTAGCATATCTTTTTAGTGAGTCTTGACCAACAATTATTTTTTTCTGATTTATTTTCTCTACACTAAGTATGCAAGAACATACTTCTAAATTTATATTAATTGGTAATTGAACTCAGCTGTCATTGAGATTGCACCACCCATTATCTAGTAAGTATTGGAGAATGCGCTTCACGTGATCTTTTTTTGCTGAACCTATTAAGCAGAGACAGAAATTTCAACCAGGTAATTCTCTATCAATAAACTTACCATATTTTTCTCCTGTTAATCTGTATACTAATTCTGTAAATTCTTTGAGCTCCTGATAATCAACAAGAAGAGTTGGGGTGTATAGAAAGTGATAACTGCATTTACTATCATCAGATGATGTTATAATTACCAATTCTTTAATAATTTCTTCCTAACTACAATCAAGAATTTGATACAATGCTCTTACAAATGAACAACAAATGTTGAAAATCACATTTTTAGTATTAATGTTTTTAGCTTCTATTTTTTCTTTAGATGCATTAATATCAATCACAGCTCTTAAAAGCCATTGTCTGTTAATACATTCATGAATTCTAGATAACCCATATATCTCAGATATATTATCTATAATGGAGAACTTTGGTGCTTGTTTATTTTTTTAGTCAATTTGGATAATCAATCTATTGGTTAACTCCTTCCATGTATATGCATCGAGCAGACTAATTTTTTCTTTTGCTCTGTAATTAGATAAGAGATAATTCCATAAATGTATATCTTCTAATGATCCTTTATTGTTCGACATATCTCTGGCAAGTGAAGAAACAATTTTACAAATTTTATTCATCACATCTTTTTTAGTAAATTTATCATCGAATCTTTCTTGCCGTTTAGTATATGTAGGACTTGCTTGCTCTGTGGATGATGTTGTATTAGACACTTGTTCTTCTACTTTAGAAGGTTGGAATATTTGAGGCTTAATAGTACTTGTTTCGGTATCTGACTCATAGTCGGAACTATAGTCACTGCAATTTTCTGACCCACTTTCGGATATATTATTACTATAGACATCTGAGTTACTTGAATAGTCATTGATTTCTCTGCCCCCATACCACTCAAGTTGTGCACTTTGTTTACTCATTTTTGGTATTTAGTTTTTTTTATTTGTATGTATCAATTTTTGTTTGATTATATTATTACAATATAGTTTGGAAAAGTTTAAATTAATTTTTTCATGCTTGGTATGAGATACCAAAAGAAATGCATTAGGTTTTAGTGAAATAGATGTAGAAAAACACAATTTCGGTAAGTGAATACTTTGGGTATATAAGTTCAGTAATATATTATAAGAAAAATGAAAGTTATATACCCATTTTGATAGTATGTTTTTGGGTAGATAAGTTCATACTTTGATGGTATGTAGTCAGGATATTTAAGTTCAGTAATATTATATAAGAAAAATGGGAGTTATACTCGTTTCGATGATACATTTTTGGGATATATAAGTTTAGTAATATTATATAAGAAAAATGGGAGTTATATATCCGTTTCAATAGTATGTGGTCAGAGGTATATAAGTTCAGTAATATTATATAAAAAAAATGTGAGTTATATACCCATTTCGATGATACGTTTTCAGGGTAGATATTTACTCACTTTAATGATATGTCTTCAAGTGTATAAGTTTAGTAATATTATATAAAAAAAAATGAAGTTATATACCTATCTGACAATATGTGATCAGGTGTAGCCAAGTGCAGTAATATATTATAAGAAAAATGGTAGAAGGCTACCCATTTCGATAGTATATTTTGAAGTATGTAAATGAGTGCGATAGAGATAAAGAAAACTTTGTGGTATAATTTTCAGAAATATTTTATATAAAAAATGAAAGAATACACAACTTAGCATATACATTTTGGGTATGTTTTTTTTTTTTTTTTTTTTTTTAAACTTTGGTGACAATGCCAGTTGGTTTTTATTAGCTGTAATTTGATATAGTATAAATTTATAGTTACATTTTAGGATCATTATTACTAGTACTATATACTATTTAATTTAATACTACTGACTTTACCTGGTTACCCATTATGACACCTAAGTGCATGTCCACCGCATGCCTGCATGCAGTTATCTTGGCAACCACTTGCAGTCATGGCACACATTAAACTGCTACACAGACAAGGATACCTACTGAACTTAATGCGGTATTCCAAATGCCAATAGTACTGTCTTCTGTAATCGTACCTATATGTCCCACTCACATGTTTTACCTGGTCTTGTTTCTTCTGTCTCCTAATCTAACTATATCTAGTATTACCTTGTTCCCTACATTTCCCATCTTTTTGTCACTGTATTACTCCCAAATTGGTCCTACTTGGGTATGTCTGATCCTTATAATCTTCACATCTTTGGTTTGTCTGTTATTGATTCCCTTAAGGTGTTCTGACAATGGTTAGGATCTACAATGAACCCATATCTCAAGACAGATTTGCTGCCACCATTGGTCTTTTTGACCAATCC